CGGAAATGGAAGAGTGCGCTCGCACCGAGGAGATGATTCTACTGATTGGCGGTTTTACAAAGAAGTAGCGCGTTACCAGCGCTGGGCGTGATTGCAGGGTAATTTTTTTGATTGCAACCGACGTGTCTAAGAAGGTGAAGGTGTCACCGCTCGAGTCGTGGGTCGGAGGTATGGCGAAGAAATGTAGCACGCAAGCCAAATGAGGCTTTCATTTGCAGCGTTTCATTATCTTGTAGCCTCAGACAACTCCCATTGATAACAAAGAATTGTGTTCATTTGCTTTTTTTTTTTTCAAAATGCAAGCGATTTTTTTTTCCACCTTGCTCTTTGATTTATTAATTATCCCTTAAAGTGTCATAACACCCCTAAATATTTGAATTCGCTTTGCTGTCTTCCAGCAACGCCCTATGAGCTTTTCTGTAGCTCCCTTAACGCGTCCGGCACATCGGTCATGCCCAGAGCATCGGTGATAAACCGCGCGACGACGTTGATTCCGGGTCCCACGGGCTACAACCGCTCTGTACCAGCATCTGCGCTGAGAACGCTCTCTTCTTGGAGCCAAACCAGCTCCACGCTGCTATCGATCAGCTACCACCTGTGACCACTACGAGATACTACCATCGGTGCTTGTGCGTCTGCAACTTTGACGACAAGAAACCATCTACCACAATAGCGCATTACAGAGTACATGACAACTAAGTAATCCTCTATTGCCTTAAATTGCCAAGGACGCACCGCAGTTCGTCGATAAATGTTTGACCGTGGTTCCGCAGACGCAAGCCATCACGTTCACTGTGCGGCTATCACTGAGCAGGTTCTCGTCGCACTGCATGTATCGTCATCTCCGTCGATAATCAGGGCATACCGCGGCGAAACACACAGCTCCGTAGACGAGACAGCCAGTAACTGAAAACAAAGTGCTTCAAACCATCGGTTATTAGGACACTCGCCAACGGTTATCCATAATAGGGGGGGGGGGGTAGTTAGCCAAAACAATCAGATTTAGCTCTATAAAAGGTTTAATCTAAAACAAAGTGATTTGTAAGACTGTAATAACGTGTATCGCAGCAAAACATAATTTTTTGAAAGCACTAGTACATCCTACAATATCTACTTAGTCGTTTCTGGATCTTCGTTTTTTTTT